ATGATGATCAGACAAGCTAGGGCGCTTCAGTCTTAAAAGGAGATATCTCAGAAGGGATCTTTCAAGGTATATTCAATTTTAAATGGGATTAAGAATGTAAACCCAGAACAATACTTTTGGATGCACTGAGACAGCAGAACAAGAGGATACAGGTTTAGGGTTGCAAAAGGCAATTTCAAGCTGGATACCAGGAAAGAATTCTTTACCCAGAGAATAATTAACGACTAGAACAGGAAGAGTGGGTGAGGCAAGGACCTTGAATCCATTTGAAAAACAGTTTGATTTTGTGCTGAGAAGGCAGTAGGTGCTTATTTTGGAAGGATGAGATCAAATAGAATAAAATGAAATAGGCCTTCTTCATCCAAACCAATCTTGTGATCTTGTCAACTTTCTGACCCAAAGGCGAGAGTGCCACCTACTGAGTTAAACTGACAGTCATGCAATGAGGACTATGGCACTGAAATGCTATTAAAGAGCTGATCATGCAACTAAAATATACAAAGCCCGTTGCGAATGTGCATTACTGAAAACATTTTGAAACATTTCAATAGTGCTGGAACCAAACAAGTTCATTGAAAATTCTCGGCTGTCTCAATAAGCTGCCCAGAGCATTCAAGGGATCACAGGGCAGAGATGCCTATGCAATTTGAACGCTCCACATTCATTCTAATTGGCTGCAAGTCCACCGCTCCTAAAATCAAAGAGCCTCGCTGTCTCTGGTTGTCCCAGTCTCTGTCTCTGGCTCTCAGTGCTGACACTCTCTGTCTGTTTTCCGTCTGTTTCGGTCTCTCTCTCTCTCGGATTCTCGCTCTGTCTCTCTTGGTCTCAATTGTCTCTCTAAAACTCTCTCTCTCTCTCTCTCGCTGGCTGACGCCCCTTCTCTCTCTGACACTCTCTCTGTGACATTTTCATTCTCTCTCTGACACTCTCTCTGTCACTCTGAGTTTCTCACTCTCTCTCTTTCTTTGATTTTCTGTTTCTCTTACGTCAGGGGCGTCAAACTTATCTGGCCGCAAGAGCCATTTAAGTTCCCTTGGTGGGCTGCACTGTAAAAATGTTAGACATAATACTGTACCTGAAATGGCTATAGGGATTGAGTGTATATTTGCTCAAATATATCAATTTGCACAAAACATTATTCCCACTGCACAATTCTTAGTCATCCTATTATCTTTGATACCTTCACCCTTTATTTTACAAAATATATATTTATTGGTTGATATATATTTAGACTTAGCTCAGATGGAATCAACACCCGTCACAGAAAAAAGATACGGAACATTGTTTTCCCATTACAGAACGCAAAGGATCCGGTCCCTTGCAGTGGGGGCGGTTACCTCTGCACACTACACTTTGGTGGAGGGACCAAGGCTTCCCACCTTGGGGTTCTGCCTCCCTTTGCAGGGCACATCAGACATGTTGACTTGTCGTAACATGCAATAAAAAAAAGTCCTCTGTTCAACGATCTTGGAATCCCCTATGTTCCTCCTGCACCTTTCGCTTCCATGACACCTCAAACTACGTTTTGGCAACTTATTTTAAATTTAATATAGTACAAAATCAAAGAAATACAGTTTTAATAAGACTTCACTTTGCTATAATGTACTACTCAATGCTAGCTAGTTGTGTGCCTGTTACATATGTATGTGAGCAAATGCATTCGATACACCATCTGATTGGCTATTTTTACTAACTCTGTGAGCTGTCGTTGGCTTAATGGGAATATCGCTCATGCAATGCAGAATGCACAGGTTTGAATAATCAGTACAGTATTAAAAAGGGGAGGGTTATTTTAAAGAAAAATTCCTGTACAGTGCAGTATATCAATGCGATTTTATAAACTAATGGATGCGCCACCAAATTATCACCCCGTAGGCCGTATCACAGAGTAAACAGATCAAGATCCTGGACCTCACCTTCAAAGCCCTCCACGGTCTTGCTCCCCGCTACCTTTCCGACCTCCTAACCCCCCACCATCCTGTTCGCTCCCTCCGCTCAGTGGGCTCTGACCTGTTTCACGGCCCCCGCCTTGCTCGCCCCACTATCAGCGGGCGGACCTTCCGCCACTCTGCCCCCACCCTCTGGAACTCCATCCCGCAGTCCCTCCATTTCGCCCCCTCCCTCGCCACCTTCAAGACCCACCTCAAGACCCTCATCTTTGACCGTGCTTTCGAACTCCCTGCGTCCCCTTCTGCCCTCCCATCCTCCCCCACCCAGACCCCCAGCTCGGGTCCGTAACTCTGTCTGTCCAGCACCTGGGGACGTCCTCTCGAAGTGAAAGACGCTATACAAATGTAATTTTGTTGTTGTATGTTTGACACCTCTGCTATTACACTCCCACTCTCTCTTACACTCTCTCTATTTAACGTTCACACACTCTGTCTTTCTCTCTCACTCTCCGTGTCTCTCTCTCTGAATCGTGTTTCGCTCACAAAACACAGTCAGTCCATTTCACTGTGAAGCTCTTTGACATGTCTCGGTGAGACACGATAAAACACTA